TTAATTAAATCATATTTAAGATCATCTATGTGCCAAGAGAGACTTAGTAACTTAAGTTTAGTAGCAATAGAAAAAGAATTGTCAGAAGAAATTAATTTAGATACCGTTATTGACGAACTTGCAAATAAAAAAGCACGAAAAGTGCAATTTTAGTGCAATATCAGTTTTTTAGTTTTTGAACATTTTTTTAACTATTGAGTCTTGATCTTTAAAAAGGTGGCTCTGTCGGGGGCGGCTGAAATTAAATGGCACGATAATGACTTCATCCCTAGAACCGGGCCTGAATCAAGATATCTGCTGTGACAGCTAAAATGAAACACAATCTATAAGAATAAATGTTATTACACTACAATAGTGTTATAGTAGTATTATTGTAGTGTTTCAAAATAGGGTGCCGTTTCCCTTCGTGAACCGTTTTCGAGATAATTGCTTGTCTTACGTTAAATGGACCATTATGTATTTGTACGTCCTTTTTTTAATAAATTTAATTTAACAAATTTTTTCTTATACACAGATTATTGAACATCAACTCAACCCAGAAGCAACTGATTTGACTTGCGCCCACTTAAACTTGGTTACTTTAGGTGGTTCTGAACGCGTTGATCGTCACCCGAATTCTTCGAGATTTTCTGAGCGCGATTTCGTGAACAAGTAAGTTACTAATTATTAATTAATTAGTAAATTTATTAATATTCTTTAGATATTTGTCATTATTTACATCTATGGTGACGAAAACCGCCGATAACGAAGCTGTGAATTATCGTGATTCGGTGTTAACATCGCTTTTTTCTAACTGCTTCGGTGGTAACATGAAAACAGCTATCATAGCAACTTTTTTGAAGACTTCGGTGGAAAATACGAATTTTACTTTAAAGTAAGAAATTATTTTAGTTTTTTTTTTATTTATATAATAATTAATTGGTGATTATAGTTTTGCTAGCAAAGCAAGAAAAATCCAAAATTCGCCGATAATTAATCTAGCAGGAAGAGTCAGCCTGCTTCGCCAAATTTTGTTGCAAACTGAAGCTTATTATGAAGATCTTGAAAATATCAAAGCGAAATGTGCTAAATTGGTTGGTAGTTTTGATTTAAAAGTGTACAAAGAAATCATTTTTTTTTTGTTTTTAGAATAGTTTGAGTCAAATTATGACGGAAATTGAAGTATACCGCCACAGAATTAAGTTGTTACAATTACCTATTGCAAGACGTGCTGAGAAGCCTCACGATTTCAGCAATTTGCTTTTATACATGGAGGACATGGAGTTTTCTACTCTAGAAACACGACTTATTAACGTTTTGATAGCCAATAAAGCATTTGCTGATGTACATGTTGGTAAAGGTGTTAGGATGCCTTTTGAAATGTTGTATGGAACTTTATCTAATGAAGTTGGAAATGATTTGATTACTCCATTCCCTGAGAATTTCACCGAAGTGCTACTTGTTGAAAATTATGTTATTGATACTGAGTAAGTTTATATTTTTATTTGCTTTGTTGTTATAAAAATAATTTTTTAAGCACCGATTGTGAGTCGGAACTACCACATAGCGACGATGACACCGACGATGGTGATTTGACTCCTTCCCTCACAGATATTAGCAGTGAATACTCAGCTTTAGAAAAATCGATTGCTTCTCGAGTTAAAGTAATTTAATTAATTATTTTTCCCATTCATCATAAAACAAATTTTTTTTATTTAGAGCAAAGAATTAAAAGCGGAAATTGACAGTTTATCTGCAATTTTTCATACAACTTATTTCGAACAAGTAGCCATCAACAAAAACTTAAGCAAACAAAATGAAAATTTATATGCCGAAATCTCCGAGTTAAAATCGAAATTATCAAGGCAAGCCAGCGATAAATGTAGCATTTGTCAGCGATTATCAGCCGTGGAACTTGAATTAACTCAAAACCAACCGGTTGTTGCAGACAGCGATATCCGTAGAGAGTACGAATCGCTTCTTTTGCAAGTTGATAAAAAAGATTTGGAATATATTGCATTGCAACGAGAAAAAAACGAACTCGCGGCAAAAATTAAAGATTTAACCGCGGCTATTGAAAAATACAAAGCGCCCTCTCATGCTTACCATAAATTAGAAACCACCGACTCAAACGTTGCTTTGCTACAAACTGAAGTGCAAACTTTGCAACAGAAAGTAACCGATCAAGATTTTATCATGGAGGGGATGGCTGCGAAATATAAACGTCGCGAAGAAGAACTCGTCAAAAGAGTCCAAGAAAAAGAAGCTGCCCAACAACGCGTTTACAGCACTTTTAAAAGCTTTGAGAAACAAGTACAAGCTTCACCCCGATTAGAAGATACAGTGGCTCAAACAGAAGAGTAAGTTTTTTAAATAAAATTGATTCATCTAATTTTTATTCTTTTTACAGTTTCACCTTAGGATTGGATGTATCATTACAAACTGATAAACATAAACTTGAAGTTAAGCTTGAAGATAGTGAAGCTCAAACTGATGTAAGCCCAACTAAAGATGTGGGCTTCCAAACGGAAAAACGGTAAGATAAAAATTAACATCTAAATTATATTCAAACTTTTTATTTCATTTTTTATACAGTTCTGTTACTCCGTTGCAATATTATCAAACAAGAACCGAAATTTCTTCGATGACCGAATTCTCCACGGAACTCGGAACAGCTGAAGTTAATCTTACAAGTATTACTAGCGCACCTAGTACCAGCGCAGCTGAAGAAATGACTTGCGATACCACAACACTTACTGTAGAAGAAAAAGAGTGCCTAAAAGATTTGTAAGAATTTATTCCTTTAACTAAATTAAAATCAACTTTTTAAAATTAACTTATTATAGGAGAAAATGCCAATCAGTGATTGATCAAAACAACACTGTTATTAAAAACGTCAAAGAACTACACGTTCTTTATACCAGAGATATCAGCAGACGTATTAAACGCGATCCAAAGATGCACAACAAAATGCGTCGCAAAGAAGAGGAACTTTTCCAAGTTAAAGCAGAGTTGCATGCTGTTGAAGATAAATTACGAGACACCAAAGAAGAATTACACAAATTAAAAGAAAAAAGTATCTCAGATAGAAATTTAGCAAGCAAGAAAGTGCAAACTCCCCAAAAAATGAAGGGTTTGTTATTTATACCGCATTTTATCCATATTGTTCATAATTAACTAAAATATTATTTTAGGTTGTTTGGCTTGCAGTGAATTAGCTGATAAAGTTGAAGACTTGCAGAACAAATTGGCTGCTATGAAAGCTGCTGATGACTCAACTAAGTTCCGCATGAACATGGAATTTCATAAGATTGAAATGGATCATCTCACTAGATCTAGTCATGAATTAAATAAGAAGTATTTAGAGTTAAAGGAAGAATATGTATGTACTAATTTTTATTTATTTAATTTTATTTTAATTTTTATTTTATTTTAGGAGAACGTTGTGAAAATGGTTAGAGCTCAGGAAGCAGCAAGAATTCGTGCAGAGCCACAACCGGAACAAAGAGAGTAAGTTTTTTAATTAATTAATTTACTTCCATACTCATTAATTAAATCTTTATTTCGTTTTAATTACAGCCCCCACTGCGAAATTGGTTAAATACCTTAAAAATCTTTTCAAGTTATCTTTAAATGAGTTAATATTTATTTTTGGAGTTAATTTTAAGTTTTTCTAAAAAGTTTGTATTTGCATTTCATTTTTGTGTTCTAAATAGGAGTTAGTCCCTACTGCGAAATTAGTTAACTACCTTTAAAGTATTTTTTAAAGTTATGTTTAAACGAGTTAATATTTATTTTTGAAGTTTTTTTGGAGTTAATTTTAAGTTTTTCTAAGAAGTTTGTATTTTCATTTCAATTCTGTGTTCTTAAGAGTTAATAAAGAGTTTTCTAGTTTGTGACAAAAACTGTTTTTTATTTATTAATGTGATCATAAAAAGGAACGATTTTAAAGGAAAATTTGTAATAAGAAGCAAATGGATGGTGTCATTAACAATCCAATCTATTTAAACTCGAACGCTTAATTCAAAGTATATTCCAACCCAACTCACTTAAGTCCCAGATGTTAAAGAATATCGTAATTCAACCCAAACCATTCGAACATCAGCAGTTAATGAGTCCTACCCAAGCTCATACAAAGCCAATATTTCAAGCCAACCCCACACACTATTGCACTGTAGCTCACTTTGAACTTTAGGCTCTTCTAGAACTCTTCTCGATTTTGGGCTACATTGCCCCAGTTCTGCACCTACAGGGCGCTCAAATCCTGCCTAACATCCATCATCTCCTTGGCCTTCCTCTTAGTCCTCTGGTATTTATGTCCCAACCACCTCAGAGTCTGGATTTTAACCCACGTTGATAGTTGAGGTTATCTAAGTCCTGTTACCACAAATTTGCTTTTCACTTTACTTACAATGACGATTGTGTATCGAACCTGCAGGATTCAGTACAATGCCTACGACCCTTTCCAGGATGAGATTAAACAATAGCAGCGGTAGCACCTCGTGTTTAATTTCAAACACCTCTGACCACAAAAGGTTACACATTTTACATTTACCCTTGGTTTCGTCCTAAGCAGATCCTATCAGTTTTCTTATCCTTAGTGGTATTTGGAACTCTTCGAGCATGTCTGAAATTAAAAAATAATTGAACATTGAATCAAGCAAAACTGTATAATAATGATTATTCAATAGGAAACATACAGAGCATAACGATTGTGCGTGTAAGTAACGTGGTTGCAATCTTCACAACGGCTACTCGTTGACTGGTCCATCATGAAGGTGATGGCCATCAACAAAAACTTAGGCAAACAAAATGAAAATTTATGTGCTGAAATCTCCGAGTTAAAATTGAAATTATCAAGGCAAGCCAGCGATAAATGTAGCATTTGTCAGCGATTCTCAGCTGTGGAACTTGAATTAACTCAAAACCAACCAGTTGTGGCAGACCGTGATATCCGCAGAAAGTAACCGATCAAGATTTTATCATGGAGGGGATGGCTGCGAAATATAAACGTCGCGAAGAAGAACTCGTCAAAAGAGTCCAAGAAAAAGAAGCTGCCCAACAACGCGTTTACAGCACTTTTAAAAGCTTTGAGAAACAAGTACAAGCTTCACCCCGATTAGAAGATACAGTGGCTCAAACAGAAGAGTAAGTTTTTTAAATAAAATTGATTCATCTAATTTTTATTCTTTTTAAAGTTTCACCTTGGGATTGGATGTATCATTACAAACTGATAAACATAAACTTGAAGTTAAGCTTGAAGATAGTGAAGCTCAAACTGATGTAAGCCCAACTAAAGATGTGGGCTTCCAAACGGAAAAACGGTAAGATAAAAATTAACATCTAAATTATATTCAAACTTTTTATTTCATTTTTTATACAGCTCTGTTACTCCGCTGCAATATTATCAAACAAGAACCGAAATTTCTTCGATGACCGAATTCTCCACGGAACTCGGAACAGCTGAAGTTAATCTTACAAGTATTACTAGCGCACCTAGTACCAGCGCAGCTGAAGAAATGACTTGCGATACCACAACACTTACTGTAGAAGAAAAAGAGTGCCTAAAAGATTTGTAAGAATTTATTCCTTTAACTAAATTAAAATCAACTTTTTAAAATTAACTTATTATAGGAGAAAATGCCAATCAGTGATTGATCAAAACAACACAGTTATTAAAAACGTCAAAAAACTACACGTTCTTTATACCAGAGATATCAGCAGACGTATTAAACGCGATCCAAAGATGCACAACAAAATGCGTCGCAAAGAAGAGGAACTTTTCCAAGTTAAAGCAGAGTTGCATGCTGTTGAAGATAAATTACGAGACACCAAAGAAGAATTACACAAATTAAAAGAAAAAAGTATCTCAGATAGAAATTTAGCAAGCAAGAAAGTGCAAACTCCCCAAAAAATGAAGGGTTTGTTATTTATACCGCATTTTATCCATATTGTTCATAATTAACTAAAATATTATTTTAGGTTGTTTGGCTTGCAGTGAATTAGCTGATAAAGTTGAAGACTTGCAGAATAAATTGGCTGCTATGAAAGCTGCTGATGACTCAACTAAGTTCCGCATGAACATGGAATTTCATAAGATTGAAATGGATCATCTCACTAGATCTAGTCATGAATTAAATAAGAAGTATTTAGAGTTAAAGGAAGAATATGTATGTACTAATTTTTATTTATTTAATTTTATTTTAATTTTTATTTTATTTTAGGAGAACGTTGTGAAAATGGTTAGAGCTCAGGAAGCAGCAAGAATTCGTGCAGAGCCACAACCCGGAATAAAGAGAGTAAGTTTTTTACTTAATTGATTTACTTCCATACTCATTAATTAAATCTTTATTTCGTTTTAATTACAGCCCCCACTGCGAAATTGGTTAAATACCTTAAAAATCTTTTCAAGTTATCTTTAAATGAGTTAATATTTATTTTTGGAGTTAATTTTAAGTTTTTCTAAAAAGTTTGTATTTGCATTTCATTTTTGTGTTCTAAATAGGACTGCGAAATTAGTTAACTACCTTTAAAGTATTTTTTGGAGTTATGTTTAAACGAGTTAATATTTATTTTTGAAGTTTTTTTGGAGTTAATTTTAAGTTTTTCTAAGAAGTTTGTATTTTCATTTCAATTCTGTGTTCTTAAGAGTTAATAAAGAGTTTTCTTGTTTGTGACAAAAACTGTTTTTTATTTATTAATGTGATCATAATAAGGAACGATTTTAAAGGAAAATTTGTAATAAGAAGCAAATGGATGGTGTTATTAACAATCCAATCCATTTAAACTCGAACGCTTAATTCAAAGTATATTCCAACCCAACTCACTTAAGTCCCAGATGTTAAAGAATATCCTAATTCAACCCAAACCATTCGAACATCAGCAGTTAATGAGTCCTACCCAATCCCAAACAAAGCCAACATTTTAAGCTAACTCCACACTCTATTGCACTACAGCCCACTGTGAACACTTCTCGATTTTGGGCTACATTGCCTCAGTTCTGCACCTACAGGGCGCTCAAATCCTGCTTAACATCCATCATCTCCTTGGCCTTCCTCTTAGTCCTATGGTATTTATGTCCCAACCACCTCAAAGTCTGGATTTTAACCCACGTTGATAGTTGAGGTTATCTAAGTCCTGTTACCACAAATTTGCTTTTCACTTTACTTACAATGACGATTGTGTATCGAACCTCCAGGATTCAGTACAATTCCTATGACCCTTTCCAGGATGAGATTAAACAATAGCAGCGGTAGCACGTCGTGTTTAATTTCAAACACCTCTGACCACAAAAGGTTACCCATTTTACATTTACCCTTGGTTTTGTCCTAAGCAGTTCCTATCAGTTTTCTTATCCTTAGTGGTATTTGGAACTCTTCGAGCATGTCTGAAATTAAAAAATAATTGAACATTGAATCAAGCAAAACTGTACAATAATGATTATTCAATAGGAAACATACAGAGCTTAACGAGTAGGCGTGTAAGTGACGTGGTTGCAGTCTTCACAACTTTTTCTTGTGGCATTCTTTCATCTTTAATCAAAACTAATGAATCAATACAAAGTCCCTGCTTTGAATTAAACCATTTCGAGCGGTTCTGAATATATTGCAAATAGTGCTTGCTCCAGTAGACTCAGAACTGCTCCATAAATTTTCGAAGCAGTTGCCATCTACTAAGCCGAGAAGAATTAATGGATAAAATGGACGGTTCAGGAATAGATGCTATTAAATCATTTGGATCGTTGGTGAGAGGACAAAGAAGTCTTGAATATTCCTTCTCTTTCAACCAAAAGAGTCGTAAATTCTTCATATGTTAAAAGAGTATTCCCAACGATCCTTTTGGAGAGTGGAGGGATGGTTAAACTTCCATACCCTGCCGTCGTCCGCGAGACTTGAGGCGATACTTTGCCTACTTGAGGATGAGGCTTTGAGTAATGTTCTTTAAATTCTTTATCAGCCCCAACTAAATTTGTGCCACAATCACTTAGCTGAGTTGAACATATACCTCTTCGACCGATAAAGCGTCTATATGCAGCTATAAAACCAGCAGTGGTATTATCAGCTTCTAAGTGTACTGCCGAAATGGTGCCTTTATTAAATAACATAAATGACCTGCATAATCTATGCCGTAGTTGAGAAATGGCCTCCCTGGGTTTACTCGAATCGAAGCTAGTTTACCCATAATTTCTTGGCTGCAAGTAGTTCTTTGACGACCACAAACTACGTTACTTGAGTTCCAGCATGAAGATTTTTTAGGTGATGATGATGTATTAAAAGTGTAGTAAGAGCTGATTCCTTTGTCATGATTAAAAGATGTTTCTCGTTCCAGTCTAGATTTGCGAATTGAAGACGACCTTTATTATTAATTACAGCATGCGAGCATTTCCAACAGTCTGACTGTTGAGCATTTTGATAGAGTTTTTTACCCAGAATATTGAAGGTTGGAAAAGAAAGCAAATATGTTTCTTTCAAGTTTTTTACGAACCGATTACACCAAGCAGTCACACGGAGAAGTTTCATTAGCATGGAGTAGCGATTCAGTAATGACCAAATTATGTTGATTGATGGATTGGCGATGGTGGCATGGACTCGTCAACGCATCATGCAAAACACGATGAGTTTTGATGTACTGAGACCACGTGATACGATATCCGCAGGACTATCTCTGCTAGATAAGTAATGCCATTGAGCTGCAGAAAGAATTTCCTGAGTCTCGATAACACGATGTTGAATGTTCCATCTACATGGGTTGCTGTGTATCCCCAAGAGAGTGACAGATGAATCACTTCAATGATGAATTGGTGTATTAGATGTATTAGTTAGACCATAGAGAAGATAATTGAGATGGTAGTTCAGTACCACTGGTTCTAGGAGCATTTCTACTTGATTAATTTGAGATTTTCCTATATCTATATTAGCAGCACCTGATAAAATATCATCAACATAAGTGTCATGAAGAATTATATCTTTTGCTAAAGGGTACGTGTCACGAGGACTGAGACAACGATGTGCCAAGTACGGTGCACAAGCTAGCCCGTTACTGATAGACTGAAATCAACTCGTTTGGATTGTTTCTCCATAAAATTTGTTGTAATGGTCTGTCTTCTGGGTGCACAATAATCTGACCCACTGAAATCAAAGAACGTAAAAATCGTCTGGAATATGATTCAGAGGATGACGTACAATATATCTTCCATCCTGATTTTGTTGATGTGTTTGGCTGAAACATTCTTCACATTCAAAATTTTCTGGTATGAATTTTGGAAGCCTTTCACACCAAGGAAGACTTCGACAGAACATTGATTACTGAATATGATGAGTTTTCGTTAACGCCATTCCGACAGAACCAGAAAGAATCCAGCCCATAGTTGTTTCTTGAGCAATAGGAGAATTAACACCACTTCGTCTAATGCCTTCTTGAATTATTTGAGCGTACACATCTGCACCAAGAATGATATCTATGGGCCTTTGAGACAAATAATCATTATCAGCTAGAGGAATGTCTTGTAAGTGTTTCCAATTTGAATTATATGATCTTTGAGTTGGTAGATATGCCGTCAATATTGATAGGATTAGAGTTTCAATATTATACTCATTATCCGGATTCAATTTTAAAAAAAATCGCAGTGATACAATTCCTCGAGAGTGGCTTGCAGTTTGAACCGCGATTCCAGAAATAGGTATGTTTATGGAAGTCCTTTTAAGATGTAACAATTGCACCAAAGATAGAGAACATTTGGTTGGATCAGATTATTGCAAATTTGTGAGGTTGTACTTTGTTGAGGCGTAGATTCAATCGAGGGAACTGGTGTTGCTAAGGTAATTTTTTATGCGGAAGATTGTGAGAGAGATGATAGAGAGTACTATGATGTTTTTGGCAAAATCTACATCTTTTTGTTGTTCTGCAATTTCTCAGTAAAGCCTCCAGAGAATATATTCTCCCGATTAAAAAATGTTCTAAAATGAACACTTTGTACATAACCACAAGCAAGCTTATTTCTCGATAGTTCGAGAAAATCACCTTAACCCATATATTTCCATATATGGGCAATATGTGGCATGAGCTCCATATTGTCTTCAAAATTTTCCCAAACAATTTATGAATAGCTTTTGACAGATTCCCTCCTTTAATTTATATTAGTTCTGCCGAAATGTTGTTAACTCCTGGAACTTTGTTGCGTTTCAGTTCCCCGCACTTCTTCTAAGGAAGATTCATCAGTGCTCCTGTTGCCCGTTATATCCTCTCCAGCACTACTTCATTGGCCTCCAGGTGTTAGGTCAGTATTTGCTTCGACAAAGAACTTCTGAAAGTATTGTGCCAATACGTTGATAATTTCACATTTGTTTCTGCATATGTTGCTTCTTAGCTGAAATTTCCTCTTTCTTGCATATATTCAATAACATTATTCCTCTTCCTGTTCTGTAACATCTTTTCGTGGTTGCTTCTCTACATTCGTCATTGCTTTCTTTGCCTATAGTCTTCTGAGCAGCTTGTAAGATTGCACTTTTTATATTATTCCACATTGCTTCCTTCAGTTTCTCTGTACTGTATCTTCCTCAAGTCCATTGTCGTTTACTTATGGCATTCTCATATTGTCTTCTATCTTCCTCCATTTTCAATCTTCCACGTTCCACTTCTCTTTTTCTCTCCCTTGTCTTTGTATGCTCTTGATATTAGCTCTCTCACTTTGGCTTTGACTAAGAAATGGTATGTAGCCACTTAGGCTTATCACCCCAAGTAAACTTGTCGATCTGATTGTTTTAACATCTGGGGAAGTCATCTCATTGTCGTTTGATTCGAAGTTCATAATCCTTTTATTAACCAGAAAGTCAGTCTCCAATTCATCTCCCTTGTTCCTTCCCCAATCACCGTATTTCTTGAAGAGCTATTATGTCTAGCTTCTTATTAACCCAGAACTTAACTTCTAGATTAACCCAGAAAAGCTAAAACAATGGTTGATTTTAAAAATTAATATCTCATAAACTTTTTCATTTAAAAATCCCGCCATTTTCATATACCACTTGAAATAAGCTAAAAATAAGCTGAATTAATGTTCGATAAGATTGTATTAATTAATATTTATAATTAAATTCATAAATTACTTTTATTAATAAAAACATTTATTTTACACAAACATTTTACGTTTTGATTCGAACGCCATCTCGTGGCGTTTCACACAAATTATCAACCTTAATAAAATTTCTTTTATATCATATTAATTAAAAATTATTGTTCTATTTTATACATAACACTTTAATTAAACAAAAAACTCATTTATATTAAAAAACTAAAAGCGAATAAAACTGATTTATTTTAAAACGTCAACTACGAATACGTTACAAAATGTGTTTTTAAACGAACCAATCACAACCGCGATTCAGTTTCTTTTACGACTCTGTACGTGGTTGTTGTTCTCTTCAAGTTTGTGCTAAAAAGATTGATATTATGATGTCTAGTGACTTCGTACGAGTTGCAATTAGAGCAGCACCTCCGCGTAAAAAGAATTTTGGAAATAGAAGCAACGTTTGGATAATCGAAGGAAAATCCATCAAACCGTTAACCACAACAATACAAGATGGTTTCCCGATGAATTTTGATTTTGCATTCGACTCAGATTCTACAAATAAGCAAGTTTTTGATTCGGTCGTGGACCCAATGATCAGTTCTACGTTTGAAGGATACAACAGCACGATTTTTGCGTATGGACCCACGTTAAGTGGAAAATTCTTCACCATGGAAGAAAAGATGCAAGATCCAGGAATGATTTTGCGTAGCATCGAAGAAGTGTTCAATTTGGCCACAAAAGAAAGGAAATCTAGTAACTATTTAATCAGATGTGCTTTTTTCATGGTTTACAACAACAAAATTTATGACTTGTTGAAATATCTTGGAAAATGTGTACAAGTCACCAACCTTCCAAGTGGAGAAATTACAATAGCTGCCAGAGAAACTGTAATTACATCAAAAAAACAAGCTTTTGACCTATTTGACCTTGGTTTAATGAACAGGGACTATTATGTTGAAAATTGCAACCTCATGATTAATCATTGCAACATAGTATTTCGCTTGGTAAGATCAACGTTTAACATATTTAGAGGTTATGTATGAAACTTTTTTAATTTAGATTATTGAGCACGAAATCAAGCATGGAAAGGACACTATGACTCCTACAGCACATTTAAATTTGGTTACTTTAGGAGGATGTGAACGTGTCAAACGCCCAGCTGATACCCCACGATTTGTTGATCGTGATTTTATTGACAAGTAAGATTCTAAGTCATCGATTTAGCTTGCACACAAACATTTTAAAATTTTCTTAGGCATTTATCAACATTTCACTCGATCATTGAGAAAAAAATTGAGAAAAATCCCGTAAACTACAATGATTCTATGCTAGCTATGCTCTTTCGGAATACAATAGGTGGAAACGCAAAAACAGCTTACATCGTCACCTTTTTGAAGACTTCGGTAGAAAATACCTATTTTACCTTGAAGTAAGTAATTTTTATATTTTAAGGTGTTGATCCATAAAAAATACTTCAAAATCAAAATGCGATTCGTTGCAAATCCTGTAAATACTTGACAATCAGGTTGTGGTCAAAATGAAATTGAGCAATCTTTCAGAAACGTTTCGAAATTTTAGACAATCATTTAAATTCTTGAAATAACAAAGAAATTCTTAACAATCGCTTTGCACTTGGCGATTGTTAAGCAAAGTTGCTTGGTGGTTGATGATTTGATTCATCAATCATGACTTGGATTCATGATTCAGGAATAAGCAGATGACCTGGTAATCACAATTCGAGGTAAATATTACAATCAGAAAGCACTACTACATACCAGCACTTGGTGCAGAACTAATAGGCTCAACTTAATCCAAACAAAGTGGAAATAGTTCCTTTCACTCGGAAAAGTTAGCTAAAATTGAGAGCACCTTCCATTGAAGGCAGAGCCATAAGATCAAAACAGAAGTCAAATACCTAGGGGTAATACTAGACAGTAAATTAAACTAGAACTCCCAGATAGTCAAGATGAGGAAGATACTTCCACTTTTATTATTTGGTTATCCCTAAAAAGATTCTAATATTTTTTTTTGTTACCGCTCGTCGAAATTCTTTTATTGTAGCTACTTTTGCTTCAGATGGAGTTCTATAACCTTGTCCTATTTTATGTCCCAGATAAACAACTTGAGCTTTTTCCCACTTACATTTTTTTGCCTTTATTGGAAGACCTGCCTTATCCAAATATTTCAAATGATCTATCCATGTCATTCCATCCAAATAAGGTTCGGCAAATTCGTTATGACTTTCCAGAATTTTATCCATTAATCTTTGAAAAGAATGAATGGCAAAGTTACTGGTTCAAATACTCCTCGATGCATTATAAGAGCTGCATATTTACTTCCACGCTCAGTCATTCCAATTTGCCAATAAGTTCGTACAACATCTATCAGACTTCAATATTTTGCGTTACTGCACCATTCCACACAAGCTTCTATGTGAGGTTCTGAGTGTTGTTGAGGTATCGAAATGGCGTGTAAAGCTCGGTAATCTATTGCTGAGCTTGGTTTAATTACGCTTAAGTTAAGCATTTTATCTATTTCTTCGTCTATAATTTCTCGTACTTTCGGAGATTGTGAATATGGTTTGGTTCTGATAATCCTTTCTTCTTTCAAAGCAATATCATGTTGAACCAAATTGGTTCTTCTAGGCCGAATTGAAAGTAACCCAAAAAAATTTTCAATTAGATTCTCCAAATCCCTCCTTTGCTCTTTTGTACATTCTCCAATTCCCTTTGATTGTTGTAAAACTTCTGTAGCCAGTAAAGTTGCTTCCTCTTTCTTTTCCAATTCATATATATTCATCAAGGTTTCAATTTACATGTACAAGGGTTTGCTTTCTTCTTCCAGTTAGTTCTTCTAGTATGATATTTTTCTTACTACTTTCTTTGCACCTTCCCATTGCATTTGTAATTTGTAATTTCTACAATTTCTTGCATGTTTTTCAATCGTTCAAGTAATTTCAATACATAACTAACTACTGGTTCGTTAGTATCTTTGCCATTCCATAAGTCTTTCAACATACTTAATGGAGATCTAATTTGCCTTCCATAACATAACTCCATAGGACTGAAATCATGTGCTGTATGCTTGATCAATGTCCCACTCTTTTCCACGTTCATAACTCAAAGCTCTGAGTATTCTTTTAAACACTCCATGAAATCTCCCTACTGCATTTAACTTAGGATGGTATGCTGAACTGTGGATTATTTTAATGCCACTTTGTTTCAAAAATTGCGTAGTTAGGTGCTAACAAACACTCTCAAAAAATCTGTTTGTATCTATGAAGAAAAAGTAACTCTAGAAAATATGCTCAATAATCCTTTTACTAATGATTCTGAGTAAGCTACTTGTAATGATATTGCATCTGGAAATTTAGTTGCACTGCAAATCAAGGTAAGTGTACTTATTTTCCTTTTCCGTTTTAGTCAAAATCACGTAATTTCGTGAAAGTACTCTCTCTCGCAGCCGCAGATGTTTACTTATTTCAGGTAGTTTTGCATTGTTGTGAACTGATACCTGTTACCGAAGGAGATCAAGTCTCGTTCTAAGTTTTCTTTTCATGTATAATTCTGCAGGGGTTTTTCCATTTTCATTTAACGGTGTAGCTCTGTAACGTAAGAGAATATAAAGTTTTTCGTTCATGGTTTTTCATCATTCATCGTTTTTAGATATTTTTTTAGCATTGCAACATATCTTTCAGCTTGTCCGTTAGTTGCTGGATGTCCTAGAGCTATAAAGTTCTGTTTTATTCCATTTCTAGCACAAAAATCTGTAAATTCTTGTGACTTAAAAATGGTTGCATCATCAGATACAAGTACATGTGGTAACGCTCTTCTGAATTTCTGGCTATTTTGATTTTGCACCGACCATTATGAAAAACTTGTACCCTTGAAATGGTCCAGCGTAGTCCATATGTACATGTTGCCAAATATCTTCTGATATATCCTATTTATGTAATGGAACCTTATTCAGATTTCTTTTTACGTTCACACAGGCTTGACAAGACCTGGCTAGGGCTTCAATGTTTTTATCAATGTTTTCCCAAACAGTACCTTCTAGACAAGGATTTCATTCTGACAATTCCTTGGTGACAGGAATGTGGTTCTTGGAGTACGAGACTGAAGATTTACTGGAATTACGATTCGTTGACATTGAAATGTAAATTGAAAGAATTTAACATCCTTATTTTATATTAGATGGATTAAATCGATATACAGCGTGAATTATCGAAAATTTTAAAAAGCATATTAATAAGAATTATTTCTAATTTTATTCTAAACAAAAATTGTTTGAAACATTTTTTGATACCGTTAATAATTATTAAGATCCACAAAAGTGTTGTTTTTATATCGGAATATGATTTTGAAACTTCTGGGGAAGATCCCAATTAATTTGTTTTGGCTAATTTTGTAGTTGTATAGTATCCTGGAAGTATTTCTTATATATTAGAAACATTTTGACACACATCAATACATTTAGTAATTTTTTTGCAAAGTTTGAACACTTTAAAAAAACATCGAAACATTAAATTAAATCGTCGTCATTGAGTATTCTCGAGATATTTCTAATATAATTAAAATGATTTTAATCAACACCAATAAATTTTTGTAACTTTTTTAACATTAATGGAATCTCTAGATTAAAGTGATCCAACTTACAAAATAATAGCAAATGGTTGTTTATTTGTTAATAAAACTATTTCAATGAGACCACAAAACCTCAAGTGAAAACAAATGCTACTTACTATTTCTAATTCCTGTTACATCTCTAACTTTTTTAATTTGAACTACGTTTCTCCTTTCGGTTACTGTTGCTCCGTGAGCATCGCTTCTCCGTCTAGTCGCTGTTCTGCAAATTTCGCTTTTCTTTGTAGTCGCGTTTACTCTTTGAGCTTCACTTCTCCTTCCGGTAAGTGACATAAAGGAACAAGTCCTTGGAACAATACTTAGGTTCATCAAGGACCTACATTTGCCCTCAACCTACTAAGGCACCTACTGCAGTCTCATCCCATCTATCGCAAAAAACTCGATTGAGATGCAGTTGATCAGCTGTGATGCTGTATTAAAACGCTTCAGAGCCTCCAGCCTTCTTTGATTCTTCAGTGTAGATGGTCAGCGTTTTACCCTGCCTTAAGTTGCTCTGGGGTATCGTTTCAATGCCAAAGTGTGCCTTGCTTAAGAAAGTAGGTGTGATGTAGTCTGTGAGAGCTTCAAGGAGGTATTGTTTATGAACAGCCAAACTTCAGAGTTCGCTCCAGGCTTTTCCCATTTGCAATCGGACAACGCCATCATGGCCACTTTTCTGATAAAAATATTTAGAGGTTGGGTTGTTGCTTTTTGTAATTAATGTGTGATTTCTAACTCACAATCAGTCCTTTGTCCAAAATAACACCAAGATATTACACCTTTGGAGCAAAGGTTAATGGACTATTACAGTAATGGGGTGGTGATCTCAGAACAATTGCAGTCTTTTTAGGATTTACAGAGAGAGTGTGCTCTTCATACCACCGTTCAACAAGTTTTAACGCCTGCTGGATTCTATAACAAAGAAAATTGTTAGGGCATCTTTTAACCATAGCTCTCTGTACTGTGTGACTTTTCGCTTTAGTCTAAACAGCTCTGCTTGACATAATGACCAATCGCACTCTTCCGGATCTAGTGCTTGCTCAGTGCGCCCACCATCATGTGTAGGACCGTATCCCTAGATATACCTTTGATGTAAGTATACTGATGCAAATACTTAGATCTTTCAAGTCTCTTTAAAAGAAAAGATGAAAGACTAATGGATCGAAAGGCTTAGGATCCTTTTTTCCATTCTTTGATATAAAGGTTCCTCCTCCAACTAAACAAGCTTTAAAAATCCTCATGAAGTGTATTTTCATATCTTCTAAGCTGCATTGAAGCAGAGCAGGAAAGATGCCAACTCGTTCTGTACAACGATTGTTCAATGATTCTTCTGAATACTTGGCAAAACTGCCATCATTCTTTTTTAGAATGACACAGCTGTGTTTTTGACCGCGACATAGTAATTTGTTAACTCTACCTCCTCGCAAAACCTTCTCCAAACGTGTGGCTTCTTCGTACTAGTCGTTTAAATTCTGACTGTAGTGTTTTAATTTAAACACAGTCCAGTTAGAATTCAGTATAGTTAGTTTTGTTTTTTGATTATTTGCTTTATTGATGAGCAGGTGACCTTCAGTGAATGGA